ACGTTTCAGAGGTCCTTCAGGGTGATGATGATGGAGGCAGCAAGGACCTCTGAAACGTCGGTAAACTTCTACCAGACTACATGGTGCAACAACCCATAAAACAGCCATCTTCCAACTTTACTTTTTATTTGTTCCATTTAAGGAGACCAGGTGGTCTTGAGGTAAGACATAGGACTGTCATTCAGAGGGTCATTGATTTGATCCTTGGTTAGATCTGTTTGTGTATTTTATGTGCACAGACTGAATCCTTCACCTCTTTCAGAGATAAAACTTTTGGAAAGTGAAACTGGTTCTGCTCTGGGTCAGTCATAACCCTACCATTAGGAGTAAGAGAATCTGCCCTATGGGTAGTCCCACCTTAGAAATGGATTCTAGAGTTCCCTGAGGTCAACATAGGCCAGGAAAGGTTATAACGCACCTTATGGTAAACACTATAGAAACCCACCAATATTTCATTTAATATTCACAATATTGTATGTTTCAACTAAAAGTTTCATTTATTAAAGGGACCTATACTTATATATGAGAAAATTGAAAGTTTGGTTTGATCTTTATGTAAAGTAGTGGTTATATTTTACCAATGCTAGTGAAAATTTAATTTACTTAAATTCCATTATAGACCCCTAATACCAACATTTCAGTGATATTCATTCATGGTACAGTTATTGCAACTTTGTAATATCAGTGCTCAGTACCTTACACCTCAAAACACCATTGACCAATTAACATATGGCAGGTGCATTGCCAGTTGCTCTGCTTTGTGACTGGGTCACCTAGTAATTCTTTCCTCTGCTTGACATACTGGTGTGCACAAAAACCACTTCAAGCTTGAGACTGCCTGTTTCAACATTTGAAATTCAAATGAAGATCTGGTGGTACTACGTTCTTCTACCTGAGCTGGGGCTTGCTACCTACATGCAGACAGGACCCAGTATTTGTAAATTGTGACATTACCTTAGCTTTTGGAGGTAGAACATGCACAGACTTCCCCCCAATGTGGTCGTCACGTGCACTATAAAAAGGATGCGCAACAATATTCTCTCTGAAATTGTTTTCATTATTCTTAATGGAAGGTTATTTACCCTTTATTTATTTAGTTGTAATGCATGATGATTAACTGCTGTATACTATGTATTTTTCATTATATCAATGCAGATTATTTTGCTTGTAGATAATGTGCACGCGTTAATCTTGTAATTTACACTGCTTGTTGAATTTGTTGGGTTGTAAAACCATGCAGTGACTTGACAAGTCAAATGGAGACACAAAGACAGATGTTTAATCCTGTAACTACAGTGGATAATTTGAATTACAGTATGATACATGAAAATATGACCAATTTGTGTAACATCCTGTTTGGCAACACAGTTTATGCTTTTCTCAATTTGTTAGCGTGGATAACCCAGAATATATTTCACCAGTGCTTTTTTACATGCAACAGTGCACAATAACAGCAAGAAATGTTACACATCCTGTTGTCACCTGACTACCTTATAGTTCCATGTAAAAGTAAAGTAAAGTTGTCCCACTATGCACCAGCTTCGAGATGTGCCTGTGGCGAAGAATGGAGAGGATCAAATGGACAGATAAGATCAGGAACAAAGAGATACTGAGGAGGGTTTAAGAAAGAAATATATTGAAGACAATAAGAACAGCTATCTTTCCTCTGAAGGAACTGCCTACAGAAAACAATTATAGAGGAAAATATTGTTGCGAAGAGAGGAAGAGTAAGGAGATTTGGAATGTTGACTGATCTGAAGAGAGGAGGAACATATGCTAGAATGAAGGAAATTCTCAGGATAGAAATGCTTGGAGGGCGCAGCTCTGCTGATACCTGTCTGCGGACAGACGGACGATGATGATGCACCATGTAGGTGCTTGAGGGGAGATGGTATAGCTCCTACTCATTCTTGACCTCGGCACTAGATGGGGTGAGTTGTCAGCATCACGCCCCGGCCGCGCTTTACACACGGGGAAGGACTCCCAATGGATAGGAGGAGTGGGCCCTGTTGTTACCCGACTACCTTATAGTTCCATGGGCTATAATAAATACTTGTTCATGTACGACAGCCCACTTACACTGTATGCTCAACTAAGGTACATTCGTCATACTATACGTAACCAAACGTTCCGGAGGAAAGCCGTTTGTGTTTAATATGTATTTCATCCTACCTAGTCTTCAGTTATTGTATGACAATTTCATACCAACCTTCACGAACCCAGAGACATACATTTTTAAATAATATCGATATAAACTGCATTTAAAAGTAGAAAATCCTGTATCAGGGCATCTGTTGCAAGTAGTCACGATTGATAATGAGGAAATGTGTCCTATTTGTGTTAATATCTAGTAAATATGGCTCGATTTAAAACACTTTTCTCTCCTGTTTTGGTGGCACTATAACTCGAAACCGGCTATTGTCTTTTAACGTTGGCTCATGTCACCAGTAGTTAGCATTGCCAGAAGATGGCGGTTGAGAAGAGTTTACGTAGCCGTATTGGTTAAATATTGAATTATGAACTATATTTGCAAGACACTGAAATACCTGCAAATTGCGTCCTTAATTCCTTACGTGCATCGGGAGTGCAGTGTAAGGATTGGAATATACTGTACCTGCAAAGTGACAAGAACACAATGTTAGGTTGATGTTGACAGCAGACAGTATCAAGGGAACAAGAGATAATTCATTAGAATGAAAAGTAAATTGTGCAGAGTGTAGCAGAATTATGGTATTTGCTGCAGTAATCGTAATGAAATTATTCAGTATGTAAGTACATTTTATTAAATATAGGTAATGGGTACGCCTTTTCTTAGGTTACTATTTGTATGATGTTTTTTATTTATTTAACGACAATTTCAGTTGCCAAATTTGAGCTTCGTTTGATATAATGAATAATGAATTGAACAGAGGCAGGGATCAAATTTCATGTGTTATTTCAGCATTTGCCTGGAGGGCCTGAGGAAAACTGAGAATTACTTCAGTCAGGATAGCTGGTCTGCAGGCTGAGATTTCAGTAAAGGACTTCTTGAATATGAGACTGGGATGCTTTCAACTTGACCTTGACATTCTGTGTTACTGTATTATTTAAATTATAGGTTATGTTTAGTCTGATATATAGCTTGAAAATGATTAGGCAATAACAGAACAGAATGTACTTGTATTTCATAGATCCTTCATAGGCTTAAGCCAAGGATACAGAAAATTTCAAGTATAACACATGTTTCTAATACAAATATAAATTGCATAGCTATGGCAGTGATTTACAGTTAACTACTGTGTTACCACAAAAATAGTTACACAATAAAGCATCACCACAGTTTCTTACATTTATTTATAATATTAGTGAATTTCTGGTTGTGATAAATTCTTCTATGGAGTAGAAACCATGTTTAAATTATGATCTTGAATATGCCAGAAACTCCTTTCATATTTACAAACATCTATGGAGGCTTATGGAAGGAAGAATGGATTAGCCTTGTGGCTTTTGGTAAGTTTCCAGAATGATTGTTTATGCTTATGTCATATATACTGAATAGCATAATTTGCTTTACTATGTAAAGTAATATCATATAATAAAATTAAAACTACTTGGGGTATTATAAATAAAGAAGCAGGTAGAAATACAAATAGAGTTGAAATAAAAACACTAAAAATTGATGGTAAGAAGTTCAATAACCAACAAACTATTGCTGAAAAATTTAATAATTATTTTGTTAACATTGCAGAGAAAATAAAACTACAAGATATTAATAATCCCGTAATTGCAAATGATATTAATGATGATGAAAATTATATTCATTTCATGAACCAAGCTTTTTCTAATCCATACCCAAATATGAATTCCAAATGCTGTACGAACAAAGAAATAAAAAAAATAATAAAATCCCTTAAACTAAAAAATTCGCATGGATATGATGAGATACCACCTATGATTTTAAAAATAAGCTCGTCATTTATAAGTTCACCTATAAATTATATATGCAATAAAATGTTAAGGAGAGGAGTATTTCCGGATAGATTAAAATATGCATTAATAAAACCATTATATAAGAATGGTGATATATATGATGTGTCTAATTATAGACCTATATCACTTTTAACATCTTTTTCAAAAATATTTGAAACTATAATGTACTCAAGAATTTTGGATCATCTCAATAAATACAATATTTTAAGTACTGAACAATATGGATTTAGGAAAGGATTAAAAACAGATAATGCAATCTATAAATTGACTACAGAGATTTTAAATGCCATGAATAACAAACAAATAGTGGGAGGCATCTTCTGTGATTTGGAAAAAGCTTTTGATTGTGTTGATCATGAAATTTTGTTATTTAAGCTTAAATTTTATGGTATCAATGGGAAAGATCACGCACTTTATGAATCTTACTTAAATAACAGATACATTAGAACAGTATTACATACTAATGACAGTAGCAATACAGCCTCGGATTGGCTTAAAGTTAGACATGGAGTTCCACAAGGGTCTATATTGGGACCTTTGTTGTTTCTTTTATACATAAATGATTTACCCAGTATAATAACTAAATTTGCTACACCTATAATTTTTGCTGATGATACTAGCATCCTATTTTCTCATTCTAATACAAACGACTTTAATAAACACATTCATGCAACATTTGAAAATATAAATAGATGGTTTAGAATGAACAGATTATCACTAAACTTTAATAAGACACATTATATTAATTTTAAAATTAAGAGAAAAATGTCAGATACTGTCACAATAAGTTATAATAATAAATTCATTAATAATATCTTCTGTACTAAATTCTTGGGAATTATGATTGATGGTGCATTAACTTGGAAGAATCATATTGATCTACTTATTAAAAAATTGAGCAAGGCTTGCTATGTAATTAGAAATATGAAACCATATATGTCTATTTCAGTACTAAAGACAATTTATTATGCTTTCTTTCATTCCTTAATGAGCTATGGCATCATTTTCTGGGGAAATTCATCTAGTAGTTACACTATTTTTCTCCTTCAGAAAAAGGCAATTAGAACAATGATGGGATGTAGCAATAGAGTATCGTGTAGAAATATATTCAAAGAATTAGATATCTTACCGTTGGCATCACAACATATATTTTCTTTATTATTGTTTGTATTACAAAACAAAACTCTTTTTCCATCAAACATTGACTCTCATACTATTGATACTAGACAGAGACAAAATTTGTATCTACCCCAAGCCAATTTAACTATTTATCAGAAAGGAGTTCACTATGCGGGTATAAAGATATTTAATAAATTACCCACAGAGGTTAAGAATACCTCAAATAATTTTAAAAAGTTCAAGGTTGCATTAAGGCATTTCTTAATTACTCACTCGTTTTACACTATGGATGAGTACTTAATTGGATAACTATTGTAATAAAAATACTAATTATATTGTCTTGAATTTAGTACGCTGCTTGTCTAGATGTAATTTTTTAATGTATGTATTTTATGTTTTTATACTTGAGTTTGTGACGTGTTCTATATCCACTATTGGATTCTTGGAACTTGTAAATAAATAAATAAAATCATAACCCTCGCCGACCTATATCTTAAGGAATATGACATTACTGTAGTGCATTCGTAGTGATTTTATAGTTGATTTCAGTGTTGTAATACTTGCCTAATTATCCATAGTGGAAGTTCATTATAGTAAAACATGAAAGTATTTGAAGTTTTCATTTTTCTGGTTAGTAATATGGATTGTAAATAAATTGTATTCTTTTATAACTGTACCAGAATTTTATGTTCCTGGCTTTTGTTATTTGAGTTGATGATACATTGCTTTATCATCAGTTCTTGTTAACATGACATTTCTTGAATCAGTGTCAGTTACATTATTAACTAATATACTTGCATACATTGAATCTTTCCTATTATTTGCATCTTTTACACTATTCTGTCATCACAGCCATGGCAAAACAATGTGTTTTAAGGCTTATCTCTACAGTTGAACTGGAACTCTTCAGAGGCTCTTGTGAACATGGTAATGAACATTTGGTTTCTGTAAAATGTAAGGATTTCTTGACCAGCACAACATACTTATAGGTTCCCAAGAAGGACTGTTCCATGGAGTTGATTGAATGACTATTGACTGCTTAAGGAAGGCTAGTTGGATGATAGGATTTCTACAGTCTGCTTAAATTTATACTTCAGTTTAATGTGCCTTTGTAGTTAATTATAAAACTTTATCGAAGAATAAAGTTTATTGTCTATGTTTCTTCAAGTCTTGTAGTTTCTTTGTTTTACGTAATAGCATTATATATTTTGTCTCCTTTAGCTGCTCAGAAGGTACCAAGCTATGTTAAATGTTTCATATTTGTGTGTAGTTTTGAAGCTCCATAATCACAGTTGTGACTGTTACTATTAAAAATGCTTATTGTTATTGATGTAAATACGTCTATACGGAAGGGTCATTCAGCAAAAACGTGAAACGAAGACGTGTAAGATCCATATCAACAATGTGTAAATATGGACCAACAGCAGTCAGCTTGCGTGCAATGTTGTTACTTAAGAAACATCATCTGTTTACTGGGCATTGTTGTATTTCATTACTGCCGTCAACAATCCGCTTTCGTTATTGTGGAAAGAGCTGAGCTGTGAATCGCTTGTAGAAGAAGTGCCTCGTAGACTAGATAATTTTGTGCTGGTAAAAATGTTTTGGAATATCACAAGTACTTATCTTATATATGAATTATTACATTACATTTTATTACATTACCTTACCTTACATTACATTACATTAGCTTACCTTACCTTACCTTACCTTACATTACATTACAATCAGCTACCACAGACCCATCTTAAGCGTAACTAATTCAAGTTGAATAAGCAATGTCTTAATCAAACTTATCTCAATTGTAAAGCATGTATTAAGTAAATAATTATAATAAAGCCAATATATAAACTTCCTTTCCGTGTAGACGTATTTACGTCAAATTCCCCGGAACCGTGGTTCCACTGACAACTTTTTTGAGGGTTAACTCTTGGTCCTTAAAAATGACATCCTATTCTTTTCTTACAGATTTCAGTACCGCTACACTAGCTAGCTTGATGCCATGGATCCACTGCTACTGTTTTCTGTGATAGTGGTGTCCATAGGAACTGGTGTTGTGGCAACTCTTGCAGTGCAGTGGTATGTCTTCAACCGCTACATCAAGTGCCTGCCATATGTTGGCCCCCCAAGAGTACCTATGTCTGGACACTTTCGTCTTCCTCAGGTTTGTGTAACATGAAAATGGGAGAAGTATTTTGAAGCTTAAACAAATGCTGTGATTTTTGAAAATATAAGAAAAAGTAATACTTGCCTGATGCTTGCAAATTTTAATGAAAGAATACTCAACTCACGCATATTACATACAGAATGGAATACTCTTTCACTGCTCAGTCATGATTTCATATTTATGGAATTTAAGTGACACATGTATTTTTTCAGTTCTTTTATGATAAATCATTAAATCCACGCTTAACAAACATGAGGATTATGTGTTTCAAAAACTGTAACATTATTAAGCGG